AGTGAAACTGTCGCCACTTTCAAGGCCTGCTGGGGGGTCCAGCACAACGCAATTTGGACCTCGCCATCCCTGTGGGGCTGCGATCAGTGAAACTGTCGCCACTTTCGAGGGCTGCTGGGGGGTCCAGCACAGCGACGTCCTACGCAGACCCACACGGACCTCGCCATCCCTGGTGAGCTGCGATCAGTGGAGCTGTCGCCACTTTCGGGGCCTGCTGGGGGTCCAGCACAGTGACGTCCTACGCAGATTCAGATTCGACCTCGCCATCCCTGGGGGGCTGCGATATGTGAAACTGTCGCCACTTTCGAGGCCTGCTGGGGGGTCCATCACAATGACGTCCTCCGCAGACCTCAACGGGACCTCGCTATCCCTGTGGGGCCGCGATCTGTGAAACTGTCGCCACTTTCCAGGGCTGCTGGGGGTCCAGCACAGCGACGTCCTACGCAGATTCAAATTCGACCTCGCCATCCCTGGGGGGGCTGCGATCTGTGAAACTGTCGCCACTTTCGAGGGCTGCTGGGGGGTCCAGCACAGCGACGTCCTACGCAGACCCACACGTGACCTCGCCATCCCTGTGGGGCTGCGATCTGTGAAACTGTCGCCACTTTCGAGGCCTGCTGGGGGGTCCAGCACAGCGACGTCCTACGCAGATTCAAATTCGACCTCGCCATCCCTGGGGGGCTGCGATCAGTGAAACTGTCGCCACTTTCGAGGCCTGCTGGGGGTCCAGCACAGTGACGTCCTACGCAGACCCAAACGTGACCTCGCCATGCTTGTGGGGCTACGATCTGTGAAACTGTCGCCACTTTCGAGGCCTGCTGGGCGGTCCAGCATAGTGACGTCCTACGCAGATTCGAATTAGACCTCGCCATCCCTGTGGGGCTGCGATCTGTGAAACTGTCGCCACTTTCGAGGCCTCCTGGGGGGGCAGCATAGTGACGTCCTGCGCAGACCCAAACGGGACCTCGCCATCCCTGGGGGACTGCGATCTATGAAACTGTCGCCACTTTCGAGGCCTGCTGGGCGGTCCAGCATAGTGACGTCCTACGCAGATTCAAACTAGAACTCGCCATCCCTGTGGGGCTGCGATCTGTGAAACTGTCGCCACTTTCGAGGCCCCGCGACGGACTCAAATGGGACATCCCCAATGCTGGTCGGAGAAATACATACGTCCATGTCTCGTCATCCCCCCTCATAAAGTCGCCCAAGCTACTCATGCCCCGCATTGCGCAGGGGTTACGTACGTCGCCAGGGTAATTTCCCAACCCATTTATCGCTCCCCATAATTTCGCGCCCAACTCGATCAAGGATATGCTGACCCGGGTCAATCCAGACCAAGGTCATTCGGGCCTTGCAGGATCCTGCAGGATCCTCCAAGATCCTGCACCCAAACCCGGGTCAAGGCGTCCCTGGCCCTGCAGGATCCTGCAAGATCCTGCAGGATCCTGCGCACTAGCCCAGGTCATTGCGCCTCTGGCCCTGCAGGACCCCCGTCTCTTGAGCCCCGACTCCACTGACGGGGGCCACTCCGGACTCCAGGACCGCTGAGAAGCAGCGCGGGAGGAGCGGTTCGTTCTTGGGGGCCAAGCCGAGGCGGGAGCTCTCCAGGCGTCGGAGGGGTGGGGTTCCCCGCGGTCGGCGTCGTGAAAGCTCCGCGCCGTGGCGGAAGAAAAGCTCACGAGCGGCGCTTTCTGTCTCCTGTGAGGGCCGCGCGTGCACCGATCTTGGAGACGTGCCGCAACGGATTTTTGCTGAGATTTTTCTGTCAATGCAAAACCCAAAACGGCCAGCGAAAAACGAGGTAAACAACACGATTTTTGTTTGTAGTCTTCATTCCTGGTCAACAAAAATCCGCACGAAATTCACTTCGAAATCCAGAAAGATATTCTCCAAGACATTCCGGGCCCATCCCAATGTTTTCCGAACGAAATCCGCTCTGTGAGGTTGGCGCCGTGAGACGTGGGCCCAGAATCAGACAGTAACGCCCCTGCCCCGTGGCGGTTCCCCCGCGCGCCCAAGCATCAAGGTGCTTGGGCCGTCTTATTACCGGTTCCGTTTTGCGGTTTTCCTGCCAGTTCCGACGCCGTTTTTTTTGCCGGTTCCGTCGCCATTTGTTGTTTTCCAGTTCCAACTCGGGTTCTAATCCCGGAGCCGTTCTTTTGCCGTTTCTGGTCGCCGTTTTTGCTGCCCCTTTCCACTCCGTTTTTGTTGCCCCTTTGCCTGCCGTTTCTGGGGGGCCAACTACAGTCGGGCTGCTGCAGTAAGGAACGATGCATAAGGAACGGGCCTCACAAGCGCCTCCGTTCGCGAGGAGGCCGAGAGGAACAACCACAGAAGGACTTGAGGAACGTGGAGCCCCTTCCGAACCCAGACCGTTCCGTACTCCAGCGCCTTGGCCGTAAGCCTGGAGGCCCAGCCAAGAGGCCGCGGTAAAGAACGGTGTCTGTAGGTGCTTTCGGGAGCGGCCAAGAGGGGGGGGTCCAAGAGGGGGGGGTGCAAATCATGACCGGCGGCATCTGCGCGGCCCGGCGGGGGGGCCAGGGACGTAACGAAACAAGCAGAGGCGCCATGACATCTGGGGAAATATCGTGGCCCCCGCCATGCTATCCACCTCCCCCTAGTCATCACCCCCCTCTTTTCCGCCCCCGAGTAAAGATCGGTGTCTGTAGGTGCTTGGCGGTCCCCCCTCCCTCCGGCCGGTCTCGGGGCCGCGCGTGCCTCGGGCGGCAGCTCGGGAAGACTCCGGCGCGCCCGGGCGGCTCTCGATGAGGCGCGCCTTCCTGGCGAACACCCTCGGGCCGAGAACTTCGACTAGCCTGTCCTCCTCCTCCTCCTCCTCCTCCTCCTCCTCCTCCTCCAAAGTATTCAACTACACGTCAGAGTGACCCTTCGCAAGAGTGACCTTTGGTGCTGGCCCCAAGGAGGTCGGGTGACTTGTTCTGGAACGAGCTGGACCTCGCGTCGACACCCGTATCGCGCGGTTGCTCTTGCAAATGAGCGCGCCAGGTTTTGGCCCCCTCTTGGCAAACGACAGCAACGTATCAGTCGACGGAACGACGCATTTTCTGCCCACGGACCAATCCCGAATCACAGCCCAAATCCTAACTCGTCCGTTTTGGGTACCCTTGGATATCTTTGAATCTTTGTGGACATGTCAAACTATCCTTGAGTATGTTCGAACTTTTTTGGAGGCAGGGGGCTCTTCACTATCACAAATTACCAACAACTACTCAAACACATTCCGGGCCTGCGGATTGAGCCGCTTTGGGCCATGACGCCAGCCCCTGGTCGGACGTCATGGCGACGCGGCCCAGCAATGCCAGACCTCGTCGCGGTGGCCCCTGGCAGCGTCTGCTTCCGCAGCGCCTTCGAAGTGCCATTCGGGGTTTTCGGATTCAATTGTGAAGGGGCCCCAGGACACACAAATAAATACACACAAATATAAAGATTCCCAATCTTTTCCTATATTTTCTGGGTTTCTGTCTTCCCCCCCACTTCCTATATTTTTACATATTTTCCTGGGAGTCGACGATTAATAGTGTCTGTGTGTTTTTCCCCTCCTGACATTGGGGGAATTCCGCGGGTGCCCGATGGCGCAGCACGCTTTTTCGGGGCGCGCCGCGCCGATGGTTGATGCGGCGCGGCAGAACTCGGCCGCGAGCGAGGGGGGGAATGGAGAAGGGGCGGGCCTTCTCGGAGGGCTCGGAAGTCCCCGGGGCCTTCTGAGAAATTTCCCGAGCGGGGGCGGGCCTTCTGAGAAATTTCCTGAGCCTTCTGAGAAATTTCCTGATCCTTCTGAGAAATTTCCCGAGCGGTGGCGGGCCTCCTGAGAAATTTCCTGGGTCTTCGGGAATTGAGAGGGGGTGGGGCTTCTGAGAAATTTCCTGAGCCTTCCCCGAAGACGCAGAACACGTCTCAGGAGGCGCGGGGGCTTCCTGAGAAGTCCCGCCGCCCTCTGAGAAGGCCTCCTCCTTCTTATACTCCCCCCCTCGCTCGCCGCCGAATCCAACAGCGGTGCAGGGGGAAGAGCTGGCCCCGGGGATAGAACCTGCCGTCCAGCAACCGTGCCACTCAGGACCCCATCCCAGAGATCCAGTGGATCTCTCACAGGTTCCTTCGTTTTTTTTTTTTTTTGTTCCAGACGCCTCCCCGTCACATCACCGGGCGCATCGCTGGGGCGCTCCCCGTGAGATGCTCTTACGGTAGGTTCCCTTGACGCTCGGAGCCTCGAAAAGATAGGCGGCTCGTTCAAAAAGTCTGGATCACGGTGTCCCCGGAAGTCCCGGAGCCTTCCCCCGGACCGCCCCCCCTTGCTCGCCGCCGACAAACTGGCAGGCGCTGCTGCGCCAGGCCTCCACAGGGGAAGGCCCTGGAGCCGCGCACCAAGAGTCATAGACTGGCCCAGGGTTGTGGATGCCATGACAGCCCACACTCTAACAATCCGATCGTTGAGTTAAAGATGTGTTTAGCATCTGTGTAAAACAAACATTTTCTAAACACGTTTCAATCATGGTTCTACATGTTTAAAACATGTTTTAGACATATGAGAATTATTTGGCAGCATGCTTCTTCTCCAATAACCGACTGACACAAGCCTAGGATCACCCTGACACGCTGTCGAAGTTACAATGGAGGCCAGTCCACAAGGAACCTTCCTCGAGAAGCCCAGCCCTGAGACCCCAGGACGCCCATGGATTCTTTTTATGCGGGAACGCCACGCCCTCCATGGCGCAGCCATCGACACCCAAGAAGCCCAGGGCACCTCGGAGGCAAGCAAGGTGTTTCTTGGCATGGGCCCCCGCTGTACGTTGAGCAAGGGCTCCCAACTTCGCGCTTCGCGCTGCGCGAAGCGCGAAGTGCGGATAACTTCGCGCTCTCGCGCCGCCTCCCAGGGGAGAAGAGGAGGATGAGGAGGAATCGGAGCCGAACCGCGAAGCGCGAATAACGTCGCGCCCTCGAGGGCGCCCTTATTGAGCGCCCCCCCCCCCTCCCTGGGGCACCGGCCCCCTGGGCGCCAAGGCGGGCGCGCCCCAGCCAGCCTCGGGCAGGGGAGGCCGCTCCCCCCCCCCTCCATCACCGCGGGGAGGGCCCTCTGGGGCAAGAGGGGGGCAGAGGTGGCGGCGGAGGAGGAGGGGGAGGAGGGGGAGGAGGAGGAGGAGGAGGAGAAGGAGGCGGATGATGAGGACGGGGAGGAGAGGAGGAGGGCGGAGGGGGGAAGAGGAGGAGGAGGAGGAGGAGGAGGAGGAGGAGGAGGAGGAGGCGAGGCGGAGGAGGAGGAGGGGGCGGAGGAGGAGGCGGAGGAGGAGGTGGAGGGGGTGGAGGAGGAGGAGGAGGAGGCGGAGGAGGAGGAGGAGGAGGAGGCGGAGGAGGAGAAGGAAGAGGAAGGAGGATAGTGAAGATGGAAGAGGGGGAAGCCGGAAAAGGAGAGAGGGGGGAGCGGCGGGACGTGGGAACAGGGGGTAGGAGGGAGGGAGGGGGGACGGATGGAATGAGATAGGGAGGGAGGTCCCGAGCGAGGGAATCTGGTTACGGAGCGTCTATCCGCAGGAAGAAACAGAAAATGCAAAACTGTGGGAATGAACTGGACTGCAAGGCGCGGTTCAAGCACGCCACGATGCCCCCACCATCAACAGCCAAAAGGAGATGTGCGCGTGCGCCTTCACAGGCTCAAAAGGGCGGCCTGCGCGAGGATGAAGGGCGCGCGTAGCTCGATACCTCTGAGCCTCATCATCAGCGCGCGTGCCTGGGGACGCTGAGCGTACCTTGCAATCCCTGCCTGGCTTGGGATTCCTGCCTCCAGCAACACTGTAAGCGCCGCAAGCCACACATATGACGATCATGTATCTCTTTGTTCCACTAGACTGCTTGAGGAAACGACGCCTGGCACAGAGAAGCTTTGGCAGGGGGCAACCGCCCTCTGAAACAGAGGAATTCTGGAGGCAACAGGCTGGCCTTGGGAACAGAAAGACTATGGAACGGATGCTGAAACGGAACTGTGCGATGCAAACCCGTCCTACCACGTACATGCATCTCTTGTTTTCCAGTAGATTGCTTGAGGAAGCGACGCCTGGAACAGGGAAGCTTTGGCAGGCGGCAGCCGCCCATCTCCAACAAGGCACACATCCCAACAGCAAACACTGCGCTGGTTTAGCCGCGAAACAACATCCATCTGCGAGAGACCATTCTGGACACACTCGTTTGCGAGAACATGCGAGAGAGCTGTCGGCAGATGGCATTCGGATAGGAGGCCTTTTGACGCGTGCGAAATTGGATGGCCCCCTTCTCCTTGCCAGACGGCTCCAGGTGGGGCTGTCCTAAGCAAAAACACAAACTCCGCGGCCATGACACTTCATTATACTTCATTGACAAGAGGGGGGGAAGGGGAGAAGGGCGGCAGTGCAATAATTGAAAATTTGCGCGTGCGGAAAGGGCGGCCCGCGGCACACTGATCAACAATAGCTTCGAAGAAAGACGGAGAGCGTTGTCTACGAAATCTGTCAGGAAGCCGCGACAAGCAGCTGCTACAAGGGTTCTCTTCCCCGATTGGAATGTTGAGTTTTGCAGCAAGGTTCCAAACGTGTCCAGCGCGAGCGGCCAACAGGTTGCCAAGCTCGAGCATGGCTTGGTCTGAAGCAGATAGGCCAGGCAGCCCAAACATGTGGGCGCCATCCCAAAGGCGCCGGGGCATTCGGGGGGTGGGTCCACCTGGGCGAGCTTGCGCAGGCGACTCACAAGTTGCGCCCATAAACCAAGCTTCCACTTTGCCGCTCTAAAGCCAGCCTCGCAGCACAGCCCTTGGCGCTGGCTGGGGAAGGTCGAACTCCCACCCGCGAGGCACATCCCACTCGATTGCAGTGTGCCCAGCCTGGCGCAGGTGACGAGCAATATTCCCAGATCCACTCAAGAGCTCAATGAAGACACGCGACTCACTGCCCTTGCTGCTCATCACTGCTGCTGCAGGCACTGCCTGCAAGCGTCGTCTAGCCCAGCGGCCACATTATCGATGACCTGCCGCTGGGTTGCCGGGATCTTTATCCACTCGATCGCCGCTCGGCCATGCTTGTCGTGCCGCCGCGCGCTGCTGCAGGCGCCAACTTACGCGCGGCTGCACTTCCGTCCGTGTGCGGCTGCCCGTCAGGCGGTCGTGGTTGTCGCCGCCGTGTCTGAGGCTGTCGAATGTGCCTGCTAAACAGCTGGCTCCCACAGCCTCGAGCACCTGGCCAAAGTGCCGGAGGAGGTGGCTGTAAGCGAAGTCCCACAGCGGGTGCCTGGAGCCCGGGCGGGCATCCCGCTGGCGCGCCAAGGCCCGAGCCAGGGGCTGCTGCTGCGGGAGGTCGAGCACGGCCGCGCGGTTCATCTCGCCCGTTTTGCCCCGCTGCCCTCTGCAAGGGCACCGCTGCAGGGGCGCCTCGTGGAGCTTCGGGAGCCCCCAGAACCCCGCGGCGCCAAGCCGCGCAGCCGACGCCCGCGCCACACCTTGGCCGAAGGCCCACCGCAGGACGTCGGCCAGCGTCGCGCCCCCCACTGCCAACGACCAGCCGGGCAGCGCGTCCACTATAAGCCAGCTTGCCAACAGCCGCAACGCCCTCAGGTAGGGCGCCTGAGAGGACGGCAGCGCCTTGATGGCCGCCCGAAAGTCTTGGCGCGGCAGCAAGCGGGCCCGCTCCTGGGCGAAAGGCGGCGGCGGCTGCGCTCTGCTCCTCGCGGATCCGCCGCCGCCAGCGACTCGCTTCGGGCTCGGCGAAGCGCTTTCCAGCTCTGGCAGGCTCGGCTGGCCCAGCGGCGGGGCCGCCTGGAGCGCGCAGACCTCCATCGTCGCGACTGCTGCGAGGACGCCTGCACTCCTCCCCCAGCTTGGGCCAAGACGGCTCGGGACCAGTTTGGAATCGTCTTGAAGGGCCATCAGCTGGGTTGAGCTCTGAGGGGATCCATCTGAACGTGACCTTCAGGTCGCATGCGACTGAGATGGCGAAGGAACAGTGGCAGCCCGACAGGGGACCGAAGTCAGACGCACGATCCTTTTCACGAGCGCAAATCATCGACGCGTTGTCGCCCTCTTGGGGCCTCCAGGGGCCTCTTGGGGCTTCGAGTGGCCTCGTGAAGCCTCCTGGAGCCTCGCGTGGCCTCATGGGGCCTCCTGGGACCTCGTAAGGCAGAATCGTGCCCCAGGAGGGGCCCAATCTATGGGAACAAGCGCGCGTAAAATACTTCCGATCGGAGCAGCAGGAGAAAGACAATCTATACGAACATACGTAAAACACCAAGGACTAGTGCCACATTTTTTAATGACCAGCACAGCTCGCGCAGCACGAGCCGTGCGAAGGCGGGCAGGCGACGACGCCGAAGGAAGGCTGTCGGAACGGCCGCGTAGGCGGCCCCGACCGTAGTCGCCGCTGCCGCACACGTTGGGCATGCGCCGTCAGCTGAAACGGCCACGCGAGCCACCAACCAGCCCGTGCCGAGCCCAAAAGGGCCGAGACCACCGCAGGCGCTCCCCACACACAACCAGGCTCATCCCCACCTTGGGGTCCAGCCCTGTCTTTGAAACCACTGACTCAAAGATGCTCTGCCTCATCGCATTGCCCATGTCCGCGTCGCACGTCATGCTGAGCGAACGGTGCTTCCCATTGACCTCCATGGCGTAGGCGTAGGTCTTGCGTCGGGTGCGCACACGGTAGCCGTTGGTGCTCAGCACCCGATGCCCAACGCCGACTGTGCCCCTGCTGCCGTGCCCTGCAGCCTCCACGACCAGCTGCATGTCGCCCTGGCGTCTCTCGGCCGCCGCCACACGGCTAGGGCCCCCCCTGGCCGCGGCAACCGCACGCAGGAAAGTAACGCCGGGAGGCGCGCCCCGGCTGCCGCTGCTGCTGCTGCGCCCCGCAGCCGCCGCTGGGCGCCGCAGCACGGTCGAATCCACGGCTGGCGGCTCGCCTGCGGCTGCAGGGGGGCCGACCTGTGTGCCGTCGCGGCAAGGCACTGGTGCCTCAGGAGCAAACGGCGAGAGGACACCAGCGTCGCTCCTCGGGCAACGCGGCTGACCGCACTGCACTGCCTGGGCGAATCTGCGGGCCGCCGCGCCCGCCACCGAAGCCGTGCCAGCAGAGGCCAGCGCAGAGACCGCTGGCCTGCCCCTCGCGCCGCCCTCCGCAGGCGCGAACAGCTTGTCGAGGCGCGGGCCCTCGAACAGTCGCATGCTTCACGCGTCCGTGAGCGCCGCCTTAGGACAGGCACTGCAGTGGATTCCACCACCTGCCACCTTGAACGGGTCGCGCCTGGTGAGGCTCCGTGACGGGCCCATGTGGATCGGGTAACAATACGTCACGTCCAGCACCCCCGCCGAGACGATCATGGCCGCTGCCGCTCTGCCACGGACATGCCCCAGCAGCCTTCGAAAACGAGGAAGGCGAGGACGATGCTGCGCGATGCGCTGCCTTCTGATGTCACACGAGCGTCTGCCTCCCTCTGTGAAGTCGATGCCTCGGTTGCGCGCCGCTCTGACCCCAATCGAACCCGTGTTGGAGCCCAGATGCATCTGGAGCGTGGTTCTGAGGCCCTTGCAGCTAGCCAGGACCTTCGACTTCGTGGCTGCAATGGCCAGGTGCACGTCCGCTAGCCCCTTGACCACTGCCTTGGCCGCCATGGTGATGTCCTTGGCCACTCGCTTGAGCCCCCCTATCGCTGCAGCGCCACATCGCCAACGACCGCGGCGGGATCCACGGTCGGGCAGGCGGCTCTCATCCCGCCAAGCGGGGAAATGATCATGACCTTCATGAAGGTGGCGGCGAAGACGTCGCCCGCCAGCACCGTCTGCGTGGCCAGGAACTTGTCTGAGCCGCGCGCCTCCAAGCTGACGGCCCTGGGAAGGCGGTAGAGCGATGTCTGTAGCGTGGCCAGCCACTCGCCGAGGGAAGCCCACGCGCGCTTCCAAGCACATCCCCAGGCCGAAGACGCCTCGGCAGCGTCGGCCTCGCCACTCTCCGTCAGGCTTTTCGTGGCGCAAGAAGCGTCGACGGCCGCAGCAAGCGGTGGTAGGCTGCGA